ACATTCTTTGTTGATCAAGATAGCTCCACTTGGCTTCTGTTAATTACAAGGAAAAGACTAATAATATATCCCTACCAAAAACAAAACAAAACAAAAACGATTCCTTGGTTACATATGTTTGGGGAAAGTTAGGAAGCACATAGCCAAAGCCTAGAAATTTAGTGTGCACTAAAGATTCCAAGAAGTCCTACAACACAGAAGCAACTTGAACTATCTCATCTATCATTACTAAAGCTATGTGTCCTGAGCTTTTGTGAGTTCGAGATTCCTATTAACATCCTGCTGCAGTAATATTTCACTCCAAGGAATATATGAGTATGAAGCTTAGAAACAATCACATTGCTACTCCAAAAGAATTCATCATACTAGCATGGCCACATTCCACGCAGTGTTTTGTGAATCATGTGCACTGATGAATTGATTCAAAGTAGAAGAGATAATACGTTTCTTGGTTATGGAGGGTTTTTTCCTGTACCTTCCCTTCATTGTTCAGAGTATGGGAAAATGAGATCAAAGGAGTTTGCGAAGAAGGGAAGCTGTTCCCTAACAGGAAGAAGCAGGAAGGGGAGGGAGGAGGGACATAGCAGAGAAATCCAACTGAAGATCCCACCTTTCTCACTGCCCTCTCTACCTCACCTGGATCAAAACGTAGGGGAGGCCAGTGTTGGCTACTTTCCTAAAACATTGTCAAGCCCCTTTAAAAAAAACCCACAACACAGAAATATTTGGAGGCTTGGAAATTATTCCATCTGAATATTACATGTATGACATTAGGAATTATTAAGACACATGATCAAGAATATGTAAGACTTTCTAAGAATATTTTTACTGGGAAATATCTTATTCCTGTTCTATTCCAAGTTGTTTGTAGGGGCTGGGGATTTAGCTCAGTGGTTCTGCCACCGGCCTCGCAAGCGCAAGGACCCCAGTTCAATCCCCGATACCAAAAAAACCACACATTTCTATTCTAAGTGTTTGTCCTCCTCCAACCGCACATACTCCAGATTCATATGTTGAGTCCTAACCCCTAAAGGATAGTATTTGAGACAGAGATTTTGGGAGGGAGTTAAGTTTAAATGAGGTCATAAAAGCAAGGTCCTAACCCAAGGAAAAGCCAAGTGAGAAGTGGCTATCTGTAAGATGGAAAAAAAAGCCCTCACCAAAACCCAGGAAAGATGGACTTCTAGCCTCTGGGGTTGGGAAACAACACATTTCTATTGCTCAACACAGTCTACAGTACTTTGTCAAGCCAGACTGTGCTGACTGAGGTGTAAGAAAGACATAGCTGAGTATTCAACCTCAGCTTGTCTTAAAAAAAAAAAAGCATCTGGGGATTATAGCTCAGTATGAAGGCCCTGAGTTCAACCCCTAGTAGTTGAAAGAAAGGGAGGGAGGAAGGAAGGGAGGAAGAGGAAGAAGAAAGCAACCAGGGGAGGGAGGAAAGGAAAATGTTGATGTGCTAGAATGAAAAGAGGTCTACAACTCTAACCAGATGAACCCACATGATCAACCACTGAACCAGAAACCAATCCCCACAGAAGGCCTGCAGTATATGGTTAACTTCCTACTCCAATCAGATGCCCTGTAAAGATGACAAAGGGACATATAACATGAAAGAGATCATGATGCAGAAGAGAGTTACATCCCCAGCCTTTGTTTGTTATGAGATAGGTTCTCATTAAATCACTAAATTGCCCAAGCTGGGCTCAAATTTGTGATTCTCCTGCCTCAGCCTCCCAGAGCACTGGGATTAAGGCATATGCCACCACACCCACCCTGACCTAGTTCATGAAAAATGTTCCATATAATCCATCTCCCTTAGTCTAACCTTACAATTAAACTGGCTGGTATAACAAGTTCCTTGTTACTTAAAATTTTACTTTATATTCTACAGCAAGTTATAGCCTTTTCTTTCTATTTAATTGTTTGTGGGCCATATTTTGTGATTCACTTTAATGTTTCTTTACTCTAGTGTTTAATGTGATTTTTTTTTTTTTTTTTTTGGAGACAGGATCACCCTATGTAGCTCAGACTTGTCTAGAACTCACTACGCAGCCCAGGCTGGCCTCAAACTCAGTCCTCCTGCCTCAGCTTCCTAGTGCTGCGATTACAGGCATATACCACCATGCCCACCTCATAATATGATCCTTTAAGTTTAATTAAAAAATAAAATATTCTAAATGCTGCCTGGTTTACAATACCCCCCCCACATCCCTGCTGGCCTTGAACTTAGAATCCTCCTGCCTCAGTCTCCCAAAATGCTCAGATCACAGGTAGGTGCCACTACACCTGACTTTATACTTACTGTTAATAAAATGTGTATTAGTCACTTTTCCATTGCTGGGACAAAGTACCTGACATACGCTACTTAAAGGAGGAAAGGTTTATTTTGGCTCACAATTTCAGAGATTTCAGTCCACAGGCAGCTGGCTTCAAGGAGGTGCATCCCAGCAGAGGAGTGCGGTACGGGAAGGAAAACTGTTCAACTCCTGCTGCCAGGAAACTGAGAGCAAGGGAAGAGCCTAAGGAAAGATGTTCCTTCAAAGGCAAGTCCTGGGGGCCTACTTCCTGCAATCAGGCCCCTCCTCCTAATGGCCCTTGCAGCCAATGGGCTACAAACACATCAAAGGTCTCGTCCTCACCACTCAATCACCTCTTGCTGGCTCTTAGTCCGATGGAGTTGAGAGTAGATATTAACCCGCACAAACTTGTACCACAAAGTCAGGTGCGGTGGTACATATCTGTAATCCCAGCACTCTGGGAGGCTGAGGCAATAGGGCCATAAATTCAAGCCCAGCCCGGGCAACTTAGTGACTTATCAAGACCCTATTTTAAAATCTTTTTTAAAAGACTAGGATGCAGCTCAGTGTGAAGGGCCTTGGTTCAATCCCTAGTACCACAAAAAAAAAGTATCCCAAGTGTACTGCTAAGAACAAAAGCCCTGGCCCTGCCTGTATTATTTAAGGTAATGGAGCCTCTATTAAAAAAAACAAAATGCAGTAGGTTTGGTAAAGCTGGTAATATTGGTGAAATGTGAAAGGAATTCTTCCCAGGATGTGTGGACCTCAGCAGATTCTCCAGAAATACATCCCTGTGGCAGAGGTGGGCAACCCTGCTGCCCTGGAGATTCTGAGTAGTGCGGATTTGGATATTTGCACCTAACCAACCTCTCAGGTGATTTTCTTGTGGACTCTTGTTCTCCTGCCATCTGCTTCTCTTTTTTACAACAATGATACTTTAAAATGAAACGCTAATCTGTCTCTGGTGTAATTATAGAAATGTTGTCTCCCGGAACTTTTACTGCACACTTGCATGATTTGTTAGGTTTTCATCAGGATTACTTTAGTTAAGTGAGATTGGGTATTCTGTGTATAAGAGAACCATGTGTCTTGAGTTTGTGTGGTAAGTATTCTAACCCTCCAGAACTTTTATAGTACACTGAGGCAGTAATTTGTGAGTTATTCCAAACAGTTTTGTGTATGTACTGTACGTTTGTGTATGTGTGTTCAGGAATAACAACACTGTTTCATTTGGTTGGGAGTAAATGAGTTAATATCATAATTTTAAAGCACGATATAACTGGCATAATCACTACATACATCTTTGCTAAGAGAAATAGCTATAATGACAAAAGTAATGAAAGATCATTTTGCTTGTGAAGTACTGGTTTTCTTTTTCAAAGGGTACAGGCTGGCACTAGGCTTATAACTATGGTCCAATAAAGATAACAGCATGAAATAAACTATGGTTGGAACATGTCTAGTTGTTCTTAACAGCAGTATCTTGAACTTAAAGTGTACGTTCACATCGTTATATTTCCACTGTCATAAAGTATGTCCTATTACATCTTACTGGCACCAAATCCTAACTTGTTGCTCTTTCCTAGTTGGATCATTGCCTTTTCTTCAGTTTTCTTTCAGTCACGTGAAAAGTGATGACAATAATAAGCACTTTCTGTACCCCAATTAACAGAAGATATTGCATAATTCATCTTGGTGCTATCATGAGCCAAAAGTGTGTGTAAAACACTCCAGCAGGTGCTTTGAAAACCTCCATAAAGTATGTGACTCTTACTAATCTGAAAGATAAAAGCCGTATACATGAGACTATGTAATGTGAGGATATGGCTAAAGGACTACTAAATGATACCCTAAGTGCTAGAGAGATAAGATTAGGCAGAAGCCACTCCCATTGAAAAGGAGTTTCTTGAATGAAGTGAGACTTTGATTTGGGACCAGGAAAGGGAGAGTCATTGTAATCATTACGTTTCAGATAAGCAAGGACTCAATTTCTCCTGTGAACTTCCTCAGAAAACTACTAGAGTATTTCAGCAAAACGAGGGCGTTCTCAAAGCAGACAATATTTAAATCCTGGGGAAGCTACTGCAGTTTATTTCATAACCTCGCTCAAGAACTACAACGCTTTAAGAGGAGGAACCAATTAAGGAAAGGAACCGTCCTCGCCCATATCCTAACACTTTTAATTGCCATTTCCTCGGAAACTGCTCTACGCTTTCATGTTTTCATTTATCGTGAAAATCTGCAATGCACTAGGATTTGGTTTCCAGTTGCTCGTGTCGTTTGCGGAGAAAACTGGAGATTCTGTGTCCCGGATGTCACAGCTGTAACAGTTATGTAACAGTTATCCGGGGAGTCAGAGCTTCACCCCGAGCTCCGCCAATCACCTAGGAGGGCCGGGGCGGAGCCATCGGGACTGATTCCGGGGTCACCGGCGGCGCGGGACGCAGGGGACCCGGCGCACGGCTGGGGATGACGCCCCTCCGCCTGCGCCCCGCGCTCGCATCCGGGCTCCACTCTGCGTTCCGGGACGCGCGGCGGCCGAGGGGACTCTGGGGACCACGCCCACTACGCAGCATCGGCAGTCCGCGTCAAGGCTGCAGCAGAGCCGGTAGAAAGAAGGGGTCGCTGGCCTACTGAGGGTGCGGGAGAGGCCGGGGGCGGAACCGGATGTGGGCGGACCGTGAGAAGGGTGAGCCCATTTGCGCCTTTTACGAGGGGGGGGCAGCTTTCTGTCATTGTAGTTTATCCCGCCGGAGCTGGCTCTCTATTTTGGACCAGGGCTTTGACTTTGGAGTACATGTTTACGAGAACCATATTCAGTAGTCTCGCTTTCCGACAAGAGCTTCCAGCCCCATATTTGAATGTCGCCTCCCCTCTGAGCCGGGGCGGTGAGCTCGCCCGCGCGGGGAGGGAGAGGCGGGAAAATTCGGAGCTCGGCGCGTCCGGGCTGCGCGCTCACCGTGTGCTCCCCGCTCCCTGCGCTCCTGCGGCCGCCCGCCCGCCTGCCTGCCCGCCCGCCTGCCCGCCCGCCATGCCCTCCTCCGAAGACATCGCGCCCGCGTCCCCCGGCAAGCGGCCCCGGCCTTCCGCGGCGGCCCTGCGGCTGCGCTTCGTGCGGCTGTCGGAGCACGCCACGGCCCCGACGCGGGGCTCCGCGCGCGCCGCCGGCTACGACCTGTACAGGTGAGCGGCGGGGGCTCAGCCTCGCCTCGCTTCCGGGCGACCGCTCGGGAGGAAGAGAACCTGCACTAAAACCTGGCGCTTAACCCTGTGCGCGGTCCCGAAGTCGATGAGCAGGGAGTTGGTGAAGGGATTGGTTTGTGCACGGGCTCGAATGCAGTGGAGTAATCTCCCCTGAATGTGATGCTGTTTTCACTTGACTACGGCGCCCCGGTCTTAGAACCATTGCGATAATGAAAAGTGGCGCTGGCAGGGAGCAGGTGTTGACTACAGGGCTGAATCCCAAGCGGGAGGATTTCTTTTAAGACCTCCCAGGTTACAGGAATGTGAGGACAGCTGATCTAAAGTCTTAGATGTAGAGAAAGTGGAGCAGCGAGGGTGTGAAGATAGTAATAGGAAAACGCTACTATTGAAGCTGAAAGGGCCACAGTAGAGGCCCTTACTTTCAGCGAGTAAGAGAATGGTGATAGAGTTGGATTTCAAAGCCGGGCCAAGTGAGTCTTGGAGATTTTGATTTGAGGTATTTCAGGCATCCTCACACACAGGTGACTTTCTCTGTACTGAATTTGCCAAGGAAGTCACTGGTGTCTTCTGGTTTTTGGTTTGGTTTTTGAGACAGGGTCTCGCTATGTAGTTCAGGCTGGCCTTGGACTCATTGTGTAGCCCAGGTGTTCCTCAAATTTCCTGCGATTCCCCTGCCTCAGTCTCGCGAGTGCTCGGATCACAGGTGTGCGCCACCGCACCCAGCACTGATGTCTTTAATAAATTAGGGCTAACCTATTTAAAGAGAGGAAATGCCTAGTAAAGAAATAGACATGTAATGCTGTTTTATCAGACTTAGTTAAGGGCTCTAAGGTAACTTTCAATTCTGCTTGTTGTAAAATTTCTTAAGTTCCTTTCAAGGAGGGGCCTGCAGTAGTAGCAAAGGTAGCAGCACTTGCCAGTCAGACCTCTGAGAATCTCTTCCTGCCTGTGGGGGGGGGGGGGATATTAAGTCTCTTTCTCAGCCTCTGAAGCTCGAGGCCAGTTTGGGAAGCAGAGCAGGAGGAACCCTGCTTTTCACACCATGTCGGTGAAATCTACACCTTTTAAAATCTGCTTTTCTGCCCCTCATGCTAATAGGTACCTCCGTTTTCTAACAGTTATGCCCAGGGACAGGACGGAAACATTTATGACATTGACATCCTTCCCCCTACCAAAAATTTGAGAATTATTTTACCTAAAGTTGTAATTTTGACAAAAGTAAAAGATGTTTACTTGGACCTTCATAAACATCTTTTAGATGAACTGGAAATTCATTATAGCAAGGTTGGTCATAAAAACTAAGGCTGTATAGATTATTTTATGAAATATATTTAAATCAGTTCCGTGTGCATTGTCACAAAGAAAGAAAAAGTAACAATTTTCTAAAATACCAGTTGCTTCCTTTCAATGTCTTCTTAGTGCCTATGACTATATAATACCACCTATGGAGAAAGCTCTTGTGAAAACGGACATTCAGATTGCTCTTCCTTCTGGGTGCTATGGAAGAGTAGGTAAGTGACTTAAACACGTAACTACTTGTCATTCATCTTAGTGCCATTTGCATACTGCCTGGGTTGTGTCCAAAAATAATCACCATCTATGGTGGCAGATGTAGCCATTTGAAGACATTTGTATTTTCTGCTTTTGCCCTTCTTTTTGCCTTTATTTCTGATTTCTTGCTCAAGCTTTTAAGAGGCTCACATTGGCCCAAGAGGTGGTTCTCATAACTCACAGCAAAGCTGGAAGTTTACGTGACTTTTAATTGGTATCTTCCTAGCGGTACTGCAGCTCGGCCCTCAAGGACTAGATGGTGAAGGAGGTCAGCTTTATTTGTGAAGACTGTGAGAAGAAGGGCTATTGTGTGCTGTGTAAGGAAATAGGGGCCTAGAATGGCGGCCCATGGCAGTTTAAGAGTAAACCCCCAGAGGGTCAGCACGCTGAACTGGGTCTTGTTTCGGTGCCATCTCGGGGGGTTTCTGTAAGGGATACGGGGCTGTTGGAGAGAGGAAGTGCTTCATATCCGGAGGAGCTGGGACAGAATGGACAGTGAGTGAATGGGTTCCTTTTTCCGAGACATTTGTCACCAGAGAGAGTTAAAAATTGTCAAGAGCATGGATACTTTAAAATAACTTCAGGGTAAACATAAAGGGACAATGGGACAGTGAGCCCCACGGGTGAAGAGACCCAGACAGACCCTGCCTTGGTAACCCTGAGGAGCTGCCAGCACTTCAGCCCTCAAAGGAGGAACAATATGGGCTCTTCTTAGCTCTTCTTGGCATCCCAGACTCTGTTTTTAGGGCTGGAGTGATGGGAAGATCAAACTAGAAGGGGTGTAGCGTTTATTGGCAAAGTGCCTGATTGAGATTATTCTAAGATAAAATACTAAAAGTGGGGATGACGCGTGGTGGGCCTGATGCTTAAGTTAGCAAATATGAAGGATAAACTTAGCTTTTGATTTGCTTTTAGAAAAAAACCCCACAAGAATTGAATTTTTGATGCTTAGTTTTTGGCACTACTGGACTGGTATTATGCATTTTACTCCTATTCCTGGCTCCTACAAGTTATCTTTTGAGTCCTAACCAGGAGTCCCAGGTTCTAGGTCAGAGCTGCTATATTTCTCTTGCCCTCTCCCTTTCTGTCTGTCTGTCCCTCTGTCTCCCTGAGTCCTGCGTCCCCGGCAGCTCAGCCCTTTCTTCCCGGTTGCAGCAGGGCTCCTGGCATGAGCAGCCTCAGTTGCCCGCCTGCTGCCTCTGCTCCAGCCGCCACAAACCCTCCATCGCCTCAAGTCACCGGGAGAGGTGTGACTTGGCTTTACAATAAAAACCTTGCTGAATTTTTCTAGTTTCTCTGGCTTTGCTAAGGCAGTGTTGTGATGGCTCTATTTTAAATTCAGAACTATCAGCTAAGTTAACATGAAGTCATTCATAGGAGAGAAAATAGGTTGACACTTCATCAGTTACCCCGTATCCAGTACTGCTTTCCCACTTACATAGCCCATGTCTCCCTTTCTGTTTTTTAGCTCCTCGTTCTGGCTTGGCTGCCAAACACTTCATAGATGTTGGAGGTAATACATTTTTAATTCTGTAAGTCTGTCTATTGTTTGTGCTTAAAAGGTGGTACGTAAGTCAGTGACTGATTGCATTTTTATTTTCAAGAAAAGGGATTGAATCTTTGTGCCTCGCCTCTTCAAAAATGTTCATATGTGAAGTGACAGGCAATTATGAAACAGTTGCAAATACTGTCTGACAGTGTCTAACTTTCAGATGACCTCTATAAAATGCATGTTCATTCGGTAATGAGCTAACCCGGAAGTGTCTGACAGGATTTCCGCCATGGTTTAGTGATTGGCTGCATTTAGTCCAAACATGATTTCTCAGGAGGAGCTTTTCGAGGTTATTGTAAATGACTGTAGTTGGCGTAAATGATTAAGTGACACTAAAGGCTCTAGAAACAGACTGCCTGGTGAGAATTCGCGCACCTCCACGGGAGAGGCCACCTTCGCACCCTGCAGTGGGAGGGACGCTGCACCCGTCCTGAGGTTCTCTTCCAGGAAGTCCACAATGTCACCTGGTCCCTCAGGATGAGGGAGGAGCCCAGCGGCCTCTGCTCCCAGCGTGAGTAGTCTCCCCTCCTCTGCCCACTTCTGCAGAGCTGCTCTATCCAAGCTTTCCCACGATGAGGACAAGGGCTCAGATGCACCCAGCTGATAAACATTAAAACTGGGGTCCCTGTCCATGTGGTTGCAGCACCCTTGTTCCTGGCCCTGCAGTTAAACGTCAGCAATTTCCCTGCATTGTCCTGAATCAGCTGGCGGTGCTGTGCTGTACAGAGGGAACAGCACTGGCTGGCGTAACCCTGGCCAACCAACTGGCTGCCCCTCAGCCAACTTCAGGAAGGCCCTGGTGTCTCCCATGGTGCCACTAGGTGGTGCTGTGGGGCCAGTCGAAGCTGAGTTCCCATAGCAGGGTTATATGGATGCCCAGACTAGGGGTGAGGATTCCCTGGGTTCAGTAGGTTCTGATTTTCACAGGTATTTATCCCGAGTCAAGAATGGTCATTTTGGCATACAGTTATAGTTTAACTAAGCATATGAAAAAGCTGTATATAGAGCTGGGGATGTAGCTCAGTGGCACCACGCCTGCCTTGCAAGCACAAGGTCCTGAGTCCGATGCCCAGTACCAAAAAAAGAAAGAAAAGAAAAATTGTATATATTTTTTGGGTATTGTATATATATTTCTTGGGTTTCTCAACCTGAACCAGAGATGAGGATGGGAGGGTTAAATGACAGCGGAGACTACCATGTGACACTGTGTAGCTGGATTAAGCTCTGTAACATCATTTCTGTCTCTTCGGGACTCAGGAAACTTACTTTTCTTTTATGTGGAAACTTTTTTTTAAATGATTACTAACTTTTCCCCTTTAAAACAACCCTCAGTGGTGGGGGGATCCATATAATTGGAAAGTCCATTTGCCTGGTAGTTGGTGAGGTGTTATTCATAAAAGCACACTGTAATGTGTTCTTGGAAGCAGAGTATCTTAAAACTGTGTCTTGGGCACATGTTGTCCTGGGCTGCAGCAGTTTGCATTTGTGAAGAGAGATTTTCAGCTTCCCAGGTTGTAAATAAGGGTGGAAGGGAAGAGTTGGGTGTGCAGGCCTCATTCCGAATCCCACCTGGCAGTGTGGGTGGGCTTCATTGAGCCCGTCTGGGCAAGTGACATGCCCAAGTCTGCACACAGCAGAGCCATGCCTGAAGCCAGGTCGTCACTCTGCAGTGCCCATGAACTTTCAACGTACTTTTCTCCTGAAGAGAGATAGCCCTCATTCTTATGGCCCTTTCTTAAGAAAAAATAAGTTTCGGATTTTTCTTTACAGGCAGGTGGCAGTTGAGTAATAATGAACTTGGAACTATTGAATTTTGTATACCATTGGCCTTCGTGGTTAAAAAGTTTTCATTGAAGGCCTTCTTTATGGTCATACATTTTCATTGACTTCAAACAACATTTTAAGGAATTTTCACATTTTTGTGTCCAAGCGTAAAATCTTAATAGGTGTTTTTGTCCTGTAGAATTCAAGAAATCCACCTATTTGGGTACTCCTGACAGGATTTCTTTATAGATATACACCAGAGGCCTTTACAAAAACAGAGTCTTTTTGTAAATATCATAAAAAATTTTTAATTGCATCTCATGAAAAAACACATAAGAAAAAGATCATTCACAAAATATATAAGAGGACATGTAAATGTCTTTAACACAGGTATGGGAGGGGACATAGCCATCCTCACTGGTCCTCAGGGAAATGCGTAGAAAAGCGATGAGGTACCACATGGGGCTTGCTGCCAACTGGTACTGGCAAGGATTTTGGAAAGGGGCACTGTGGAATACTGAGGATGGACTTTGCTTAAAGGGCTGTAGCGTTACCCAGTGATAACCTTTACAGTGGAAAACATTTACCCACTTTGGCCCAGGAAAGTGGTTTTGGGAATCACTCATATGTCAGGGGCTGCTTTTTTATGACTAAATATGGAAAGCAATCAGCTTGCTATTTTATAAATGAAAAGCTAGTGATGTTGGCTGCCTCAGGGCTAGTTAGGAAACAGTAGCTTTTACTTGATGTATAGTGATACCATTTGGATAATTTTAAAAATTTGTATCAAAGTGGGAACAAACATGACCATATGTCAGTCTGTCCCTGTTGTCTTCAGCCTTCGGCATGGATGTGTTGTGAGCCTGCGCCTCAGGAGTGTCCTGGCATCCTGTGGTCATTTGTTCTCACATGGAACAACACACGGTTAAGTCATTCCTGCAGTCAGAACCTTCTCCACATAGATAATTCGGGAAACGACTAGTCCTGCTCTTTTATCCATTGTTTTCCTAAGTATTTTTCGGAGGGAGGTTGGTACCAAGGATCAAACTAGGGACCTTGCGCTTGCGAGGCAGGTGGCAGAACCATTGAGCTAAATCCCCAGCGCTGTTCTCCTGAGTATTAAGGACTACATTAATGGTTGGCTGGCAGCCTGGAAAGAAACCAAGGTTTAACCTTTGACTTGGTTAATTTTGTTGCTGAACCCCTAGAAAAGAATAGACTTCCCTCCGGTCTAGACGAGAGACCAACTGCCTCTGTCGCCTTTCGGGCCACATTAAGTGCCAGTCTAACAAAGCAGGCAATGGGGCAGTCTCGAAACCAGCCTATCTTTACACTTCCCCTTCACTGATAAAATGTATTTATCATTAGTTCAAGTTTTAAAGCGTTGCATCAGGAACCTCTTAAGAAGTGCTGAAGTTCAGTTTCTCTTGTCCCTCGTAATTCTTTCAAAAGGCACAGGAGTTCATTTAAACTTTGCTGATCCACTGGCAAAATCTGAAATCGTGGTTTTTCTGGTGTTTTTCCCCATGATGGAGCTGACTTTGCCCTTTTTCCCTACATGAGAAGGTGGGCAGGGCCTTAGCTGGAACGGGCCTTGTTCTGAAAGACGTTTTTTCCTTCATTTGATCCTCCTGTGATTAGGAGGGTGGCCGAATAGCTAAATTTGTGGCTATGCTGGTTTCCTCCCCACTGTAAAGGTTGCATTGTTTTGTTCAGGGCACAGTGTTACTTACGGAGCAGTCCGCTGTGGAGTGGAACTGATGTGCGCTTCCTTGGGCCCGTAGGAGCCTCACTGGCCCTCGCAAACTGAGGGGCAAAGATGAAGCCTGACTGCTGCTGGGTACAAGGTTTCTTGTTAGGGCCGTAGTGTCACCAGATGGATGGGCTGCGCAACCTGAAGACGCTTTCAACTCCTTCATGTCATTAGATCTTAATGTTTAAAAAGAAGCAGTGAGCAGGCCCGGTGGACCTGTGTTACCTGTGCGTGTGTTTGTGGACACCCGAGTTCCTGGCCCAAAGATGAACCCAGCAAGAGTGGTTAGTGTGGCTCTCTGGGCTGCCACAGGGACAGGCTCAAGTCCCAGGCAGAGCTCTCCCGCTTCTGTATTTATCATCTCAGACGACTGCAGACTGCACATGGAGATGGCGATCTGTTAGGGTTGTGAGCTGGAGCATCCTCAGATTATAGTACACAGGACTGTACTTCATTGAAAGAATATGAGCTCTGTTCTTACTGTAAAGATAGGATGTCCTGATACCTGCAAGACTGCTGCTTAACAGTGTCCGCATTGATTTATTCTACTGCTGATCTTTCCTTTTGGTGTTTGACATTTTATTTATGACTCAGTCGTATTTCAACCTGAATATTAGCAAGAAGCTGCTACCAGAAAGTGCCTTTGAAGCCAGTCATAATTTTCTCCTGGCCTGCTTCGCATGTTGTACAGTAGGTTAGAGGTTATAATTGCTATGCCAGCCTAAAGTAGGAAGTGGTCACCATTTGATAATGGTGACAGGGCAGGAAATTATGGCCCATTTTCTAGATGATTTGCATTTTAGTAGTATCTTTTTTATCTGAGCAAGATTCATATAATCAGTTGCAAGGATAGTTTTTAGAGCTGTATAAAAAATGTTTGAAATATTACACTCAAAGTATTCTCATAGCAGAAATCAAGATATTGTTTTTCCTTCAGCTGGAGTCATAGATGAAGATTATAGAGGAAATGTTGGCGTTGTGCTGTTTAATTTTGGCAAAGAAAAGTTTGAAGGTATGTTAGACATATATTCACATAAGTCTAGTGACTATTCTGGGTTGCTTATGTGTCAGCACTAACTTTCGAATAGGCAAGATAAAACTTGTTTGTTTTTTCTTTGAAGTAAAAAAAGGTGATCGAATTGCCCAGCTCATTTGTGAACGGATTTATTACCCAGAAATAGAAGAAGTTCAAGTAAGTGTCATAAGTTGAGTACAGAATGATGATGCCTCGTAAGTAACGAATAAAAATATAACTGAGGATCTCCTATGGTGTTTGCAACTAATATATAGATCCTTTTTAAATTTTCTGTTTGTAATCTGGTTTTTTTTTGTGGCTGTGTAGTTCAGGCTGACCTTGGATTCGCTATGTAGCTCAAGCTGGCTTTGAACTTGCAGCAATCCTGCATCAGCCTACTGAGTGCTGGGATTACAGGCCATGCCCAACTGTAATCTTTCTTTCTAAGATGAGTTGATACAGCAAAAGTAAATGTCTTACATCAGGAGCTGGAAGGAAGAACTGACTAAAGCTAACTGTGCCGTGTGACCTTTCTGTCTTTCAGGAATTGGACGATACCGAGAGGGGTTCCGGAGGCTTTGGATCCACTGGGAAGAATTAATTAAAATTTAGGCTAAAATGTGAAAATGCCCTTTTTTCTTAAAAATAGACTTTTTGGCTAAAGTGTTTTGTATATCTGTAAACTTAAAATTTTTAATTTGCTATGGTAAAGGAAAAGGTATCTCTGTTAGCATCGCTTAGAAACTTTGTGTTATCTGCAGTTGAAGACTGTATGTAAATCTGATTTGTGGTGACCTGATAACAGACTTAAAAATCAAATGTATATCAGTTACAGATTTTTTAATAACTAATTTAATCCAATAAACATTCTTTCAACATATGATACTTTATTAACTTTATAAATCATAAATACTGGCTTTTATTCAGTACACTTGAATTCTACAGATAGAAATTACATACACTGAACTAAAAGAAGTATGGAAGAGGTTAAAGTTACTCCTTGTGGGTTTTTTGCTAAAGTACTTTTTAATATTAAGATTATGTGAAGGTAAGAAGGGCATTCTGGTTATTTACCTTTTTTTCACCCATAATCTTGGTAGACCTTGAGTTGACTGGGATAGAGCTATGTTTGTAGAAAGAAATGTAACATGGTGATTTGCAGTTGATCTGTTGGTCAGAATTCCGTCTCATGCAAATTGTACCAGGTATATTTATCTGAGTTTCTCTCACTGAAGTAGCATTATTAGATCATCTCCAAGAAAATAGGCTGTTTAATAGAAATAAAATTAATGTGTCGGTATGTATATACTTGAGCCTTGGGTCTTTCCATCCCAACCACGTAGCTTGAATAAATACGTATCAGTCCCATTGTGCTGCAGAAACGGGCAGTTCTTGGATTAGCTTGGTTGTCAGTCTCTAGTTTACTTTGCTTTGCTTTTTTTCCCAGACTTCTTTGCATCAGCTATTGGTGTCTCTTAGCTTTTGTCCATCGGATGCACCGTGAGACTCCCCAGGCTGCAACTGAGGTGTGGGTCACACAGGTGATGCGCTCCTGGAGCAGCTGGCCGCTCTAGCTGCCCCAGTTCTGAAAGCACAAGCTACAGTGCATCTCCTGTCCTAGATTGTTCCACACCCTGCACTGTGCCTGTCCTGGGGTCACAGACTTAGTCATGAGTCAGCTCACTGGAACCCAGCCACCATTTTAAACAATTACAGGGCAACATGTCAGAAGAGAAAATACTGTAAAGACTGAATTACACATGTATGTGAGCATGTGTTTGAATTATTTCCAGAGTCAGTAAAATTTAGATAAATCCTTTTCTGCTGTACTAGCCAATGAACAACTGAACCCTGCCAGTGCAACAGTTGAATAAGTATGGCCAGTGAGACAAATGATCTTCAATTTACACATCCCAGGTAGTTACTGTTTATGCGTCTGCTTTATCTACATTACAGACAACTCATTTCTTTCTCATTGTGAGAGTAAACAAAACACCCATTTTATAAATGACAAAAATAGGCTCAGAGAGGTTTAGTAAACATATATACCATTTTAGCCAGTAACCATTACTGCATTTGTGTTGCTGTAACAACACCTGAGACCATAGTTTGTTTGAGTTTTTTTCCTTAAATTCTTTTATTGGTACATTTTAGGTATACAACACATTTACATTTATTATTGGGTACTTGTACCTGTACATGATGTATCTTGGGTAGTTTTTAATGAGCAGAAATCAGTTGGCTCACAGTCCGGATAGGAATTTCAAGACTAAGGCTCCAGCAGGTCCAGTCTCTCATTCCAAATAGCACCTCATCCTCTCGTGACAACAAATTCCTATGAACACTTTTTATAATGGCATTAATCCATTCTGTTACCGAGTCATTAGAGCAACTCCAGGACAGCATGTTTTAAAAACTTGGTAAGAGATAGCACATGTTGGAAAAGTAAGTACCTGCCCTGCTTCTGTGACCTGAACGCCTGTGTTAGTCCTCACCTCCCAATACTGGTCCACTGGGGATTAAATTTCCAACACAGGAATTTGGGATACATTCAGACTATGACCACTATTAAAACTCAGGTCCTTATGGCTTTGCCGTCATAATTCTTTGATCTTCTCTCCTTCAAATGGTAGAGGTCAGCAATACAGGATGAGCTGGCCAGTGAAAGTCCTGCTCTAGTGTGTTCACACCTGGAACATGCTGTCATCTGGGTGACAGTTACCAAAGTGGCAAGAAGAGCATCCCACCAGGCCAGGAGTGTATCCCGTCTCAGTCACACTACAATTCTAGAAGTAACTTAGTTTTACATTTGAGGCATCATTTCTTTGTATTTAAAGTTTGCTGTCTGCCTAAGTCAAGTTCCACTGTACTGGTCTTGAACTTTATATAAAGCAGAATCGTGAATTTTTAGGTCTTGTTCCCTTTCCTCAACACTGAGGTCTAACCCAGTTCTATGTAGCTGTTCATTTTTTTTATATTCCATTGCATCAATGCACCACAATCTTGCATGCCTGCTACAAACTCAACTTGGTCAGTGTATGTTATTTTTATTGCTGAATTTGGTTTGCTAATATTTTAAGGTTTCCTTTCCCATATATGTCCATAGGAGACATTGGCCTGTACTTTTTCCTTTCTTGTACTGTATTTATCAGCTTTGGTAGGAAAGTTAAACTGCTTTCATAAAAGTATTAAGGAGTTAGGGAATAATCTTTCTTTTTTTCTCTCTCTTTTCCTCCTCTCTCCTTCCTGCAGCCCTTTCACAGTCCCTACTGTCCTGGTAGCAAATTGAAGAGTCAGTTAACAGTCAATCCCTTGGAAGTTAGCTACTTTTACCCTCTGTTGGTTTACATATGTCTGCATGTCTGGTATTAAGTAGTACACTATGAAGGTTTAGGCACTGTTTATGGAGGGGTCATTGGGTCGTTGAATCTGTATATCCATGCCTTTCATCAATTGTGGAAAGTCCTCAGATTTTCTGTCATGTTTTATTGTAATGTTCTAGAATGTCTTCAAATTACAGTTGTAATGGCTTCTCAGTTCAACTTTTTTTTTTTTTTAGAAAAGTGTTTTTAGAGCAATTTTAGGTTCATAACAACACTAAGAAGGTACTGAGATATCCCATAACCTGTCTGCCCCCACATGCACATCTGTTACCAACATCTCCCACCGGAACGGCACATTTGTTACAAGTGATGAACCTACGCTGACACAGCACCATCACCCAAAGTGGGAGTTTCCTTCAGGTTCCCTCTTGGTGTTTGATTGCTGAGGTTTGGACAAATGTATAATGACACATCCATCTTTATTGTAGCACACAGCTTATTTCCACCACCCCAAACATCACCTGTGCTCTACCATGCATCCATCCCTTTCCTCCCAGTCCTTCTGCTGTCTCATCTTTGCCTTTTCCACAATGTCGTGTAGTTGGAATTACATAATATTGTAGCCATTGCAGATTGGCATCTTACACTTAGCAGTATGCTTTTAAGTGCCCTCCATGTCTTTTCATGGCTTGATAGCTCATTTCTTTTTTTTTTTTTTTGGTACCAGTGATCGAACTCGGGTCCTTGTGCTTGCGAGGCAGGCGGTGGAACCACTGAGCTAAATCCCTGGCCCCAATAGCTCATTTCTTTTAAGCACTAAATAATTTCCATTGTCTAGATTTCCCCAAGTTCATTCGTTCAACTACTGAAGGACATCTTGGTTGCTTCCAAGTTTTGGCAGTTATGAACAGACTACTGGAAATATCCACATGCAGAGTTTTGTGTGGGTATGTTTCCAACTCTGGTAAGTACCACAGAGTGTGTTTGCCAGAATGTATGGTGAGAGTAGGTTTAATGTTGGGAGAAACTGCCAAGCTGTCTTCTGAAATTTCCTAGACCACTTTATATCCCCACTGTCAGTGGATGTTTCTCCGCATCCTCATCAGGATTCTGTGTCCCTGGAGTTCTGGACTCGCCATTCCTAACAGGTGTGTAGTAGGGTCTCGCTGTTTGAGTTTGCATTTCCCATGAATGATGGGGGTCACCTTTTCATACCCTTACTTGCCATCGGCATTTGTTTGGTGAAACCTATATTAAGGGTTTAGATTTATTTTTAAAATAGACTCGTTTGTTTTCTTTTTGAGTTTTAAAGAGTTTTTTGTATATTTTGAATAACAGTCCTTTTTCAGTTATGTCTTTCACAAATACTTTGTCTAAATTTGTGGCTGTCTTTTCATTTTCTTTATGTCTTTCTCAAAGCAGACATTTTTAATTGTAATGAATTCCAAGTTATCAATTCTTTCTTTCATGGCTTGTGTCTTTAGTGTTGTGTCTAAGAAGTTATCCTCAAACCCAAGGTCACCTAAATTTTCTTCTGTTATTTTCTAGGAGTTCTATACATTTGTATTTTACATGTAAATCTATTATCCACTATAAGTTCATTTCTGTGAATGGAGTATATTTTTTCTAAGGTTTGTGCCTTGGGTTTTTCTTTAGTTTTTGCATGTGGGTGTCCAGGTGTTCCAGAAACATTGTCAAACAGACTATCCTGACTCCACTGTGTGCCTCTGCTCCTTGATTGAAGGTCTTCTGACTGCTGTGTGGGTCTGCTTCTGGTCCTTTGCTCTGTGCTGTTGATTTGTGTGCTCACCAGTACCGCACTGTCTTGAAAGTAGATCTTCAGGTCAGGTAGTGTCAGTCCTCAGCTTTATTCTTCTTCTAAGTTTCATTGGTTTTTCTAAGTCTTTTCCTCTTTATGTGAGTTTTTAATTAGTCTCTTGATAGTTACAGAATAACTTTCTGGGAATTTGATTGGGATTGCATTGGCTCCATAGATCAACTCGGAAGGAACTGAAATTTTGACAGTAGTCTTCCTCCTCATGAACATGAAATATCTCTCCTTTTAAAAATCTTTGTTTTATTGAGATACAATTCATACACCATAAAAGTCACCACTGAAAGTGTACATATCCTTGTTTTTTACTTTATTTACAAAGTTATGCAATCATCACCACTACTGTTTGTGGTTTTGTTTGTTCACAGTGCTGGAGGTTGAACTTGACACTGCACTACACTGGGCTACCACTGCCTACTTTTATTTTATTTATTTATTTATTTTATTTTATATATTTTTTTGGTACCGGGGATCGAACTCGGGTCCTTGAGCTTGCAGGGCAGGCGGCGGAACCACTGAGCTAAATCCCTGGCCCCTCACTGCCTACTTTTAGAACATTTCCATCTCCCCAAAAAGAAACTTCATATCCAACACCACTCCACCTCTACACGTGTGCCCAAGCCAAGGGTAGCCACTAACCTATTTTCTGTCCCTGTGATTTTGCCTATTCTGGACATTAAATATACAGTATGTGATTGTGATTGTGTGTGTGTGTGTGTGTGTGTCTAGTTTCTTTCACAGATAATTTTTCAGGGTTCATTCATGTTTTAGCATGTACCATTGTAGTATTCCTTTATATTATTGATGAATATTCCATGATATGTAATATCAAAACTACTTTTTCAATTTATCAAATTGTGGATATTATATTGTTTCCATTTGGGGCAGTTGTGAAGAATGCTGCTACGGACATTCATGTACAGACTGATGAGTAGACATTTGATTTCGATTCTCTTGGGAGTTAAATTACTGGGTTATATGATAGCTGTGTATTTAACTCTGAGGAACTGCAGAAGTGTTTTCCAGCACAGTTTAATTTATTTTTTATTTGGTTGCTTGTGATTTTGATATCATAGACAGGAAACCATTGGTTAATCTGTTATCACAAAGATTTACATCTACATTTTCTACCAAGAGTTGTATAGTTTTAGCTCTTACATCTCGGGTTTTGGTCCATTTTTACTTCTGTATATGGTGTGTGTGAGATAGGG